GATGGGACATGTGCTACATTCACCAACTAAACAACACAACTGCAGATCGGGTGGTAGTTTATTTCGAAAAAGGAGAAGATGTCTTAATGGTGAGCCAGTGCAACCCTGCCATGCGTGGCAGAAGAAATGATCCATTACATGATGGGGAAGGTAGAAGGAGCAGACGCAAAGCAGTTGTGATGCTTCTACACTTTGAACAGGACTATGAGAAACAGGACAGAAACCACGTTGAGGAGCGTAAGGCGGGAATCGGTATCATATCATATACCGAGCTATTATTCCTGTAAGGAAAAGCAAATGATAAGTGGTAGACCGGTCGCTCAGCGGTAACCTCAGAAGGTAAATGGACTGACTATAAAGGGTTGCTAGCGGTCAACCGCAGAGGGCGGTGGTCTTCGTTTTTCACATCCCGTTGGTATTGGCTACGATAGCGCAAAGTTGATCCGGCGTTTTCGAAAATTCGAAGAAAACAGTAAGAATAGGCTAGCTCAGGGCATCAGTGGAAGAGTCAATTTTGCTATACAGCTCACATCCCACGTCGAGTGGCGAACTTTGTCAAACGCAAGAAGTTTATTATGGTAATGAATCAGCACACTCTTTCCCAAGAAACGTCACTATGAAAATGAAATATTGCGGTTACAGCTGCCCAAAACTTCACAAAAAAAACAAAACCAAAAACAAAACCTCACCTCAGGTAAATTAGGAGATCTGTCATGCTTTGTCAGTTGTATCATAACTTTAACGACTCATATGCTTTTGAAGAAAAGACGAGAGTAGAGAGACTGCAACTCTTTGACAGACAATCTATTTATACGCGTGACTACGCGTTCAGTTCTCAATTTCCAGCCATGGAAGTAATAAATAAATGACTTCCACGGACGGCTTTCTATGAACCTCGGCATAGCTGTTTTGCTGAGTTGTTTTCTTCAACTCTTCACGAGGTTTGTATACAAGCTTTATTAGGCTGACGTTTCGGCGGAGTCGCCTTCTTCACGTGGAGTGGTCTTACCGTTTTCAAATATACTCAGCACCACAATAACAGCAAATAATTCTGTAGACCACCCCAGACATATAACAATCACCCTCCCTTCCAGCTGGACAAACCACACAGTTTGTACATAGGCGACCGTATAGCCTGTTCCAAACCAGGCGCTTCTTCAGATTGGAGGGTGGTACGTTATCAATAGCAAGCGCATATCCCAAACCCCATCTCTTTAGACACTTCCTAATAGTGGCACTGACCTCATCAGAGATGAATGGTAGTACAAAAGGAATCTTTACATCAATCGAGGTACTGCCATGTCTGAGGATCACGCCACCAGAAGATGCTCTTCTTGTAGTTGAAAAAATGCGGTAGCCATTTATCTGAGCAATATCGCATGCCATTTTAATACTCTTTTCGGTCATCCTCCCCAGTGCAAACCTTCTTAGCGGTGCGGAACATATTCCTGACAACCGCTCGCTTTACGTAAAAAGGATGAACTGAGTGATAATGGGCAATGAAATTTTTATTGCTAGGCTTTCTGTACCACTTCGTAACAATCATATCGCCCTATAACCTCACCTGAACATTTAAGAAAGACGGTCAGTTTTCCCGAGTTAACTTAATGTGCTCCGACTGTGAGGTCAGCAGGCCAGAACACACATCTACTTCTTCCTGTGTTGCAAAGACTGTGAAGCAGTCATCGATATACCTGCAGTAAAGTAAGGGCAGGTATTCTAGTACAGGCGCTTCAATTTTGGCTATAAATGATATAGCCAAAACTGGCGCCAATCGCTGTCCCATAGCTAAGCCTCTAGTCTGTGCGAAATACCTCCCCGACCACTTGAAAATGTTACAACTGAGGCACTCTTTCACAAGTATCATCAGTTAGGATATAGAAAGCCCTCGCATACTAATATCGTTCTTGTGCTGACCAAGAAGCTCGAATATGGCTTCCATAGCAGACCCATTATGACATTCGTGTGAAGGGCTTCTACATCGAAGGACTCCATGACGCACGAACCACTGAGTTGCAGTGCGCCAAGGCGATCCCGAAACATTTGGGTGTTTGTGAGGTGGGAGGGAATAAAGTTGAGGAGCTGCACTTGAATGATACTAAGAGACACGATTCGGCCAGTTGGACCACCCACGCAGCTTATTATAGGACAGACTTTCACGGAAGTGGGATTAACTGAAGCCAGGTCGTCTGCATCTAAAAATAATGCGTCTTTATGAGCTGATACAGGACTAGACAACACTGCGACTAAAGTTTGAGGCGTGTTAGTCAGGTTGAACTCAGTCCTGCAGACGTGCTACTGAAACCCAAATCCGGTTTAGTCCACGCAGCTTCGTTTTGAACTTCTCAAGAGAAGCTGGGCGGTAGAGAGAGGTGTCTCCCAGATGGTGTTCTGTTATTTCACGATCAAGTTGTCTGGGAATCACTACAAACTCTCCTCCCTTGTCACTGACAGATAACCTTATGGCTCCAAAAGTTATTAGGTCTCGAAGTTCCTTGATTCCACGTGCTTGCTACCGTGAAATGTTAGAAGTGGTGTTTTGTTTATGGAACCTACCTAGCACCTTACAATTTTCGTCGGCCAAAATTCGGAAGTTGGCGTCATAATCAATGTGTGGTTCCTGCTGTTTGGAAAACCTGGCTGGGCATTGAATGTTGAGCACATTTCTTTCTCGTTCTGCCACCAAGGAGCCTTTATCACACCTAACCCTATAACGGAGTCGATCTTGAAACTTGTGCAGACTGCACATTACTTTCCGCATTACAACTGTAGAAATGGACTGCGAAGGTGAAAAACGTGGGCCTATTTCTAAGATCGATCGAGCGCAGTCAGATAGAGGGGAGCCTCCCATCACAGCTACTCGGGATTTCGATAGACTCCACTGAGTAGTCGTGTTGGCTTCATGTCTTCTAGGAATCTATTCAGCCTGAGTGCGCGATGACCCCATTTTAAATCACTTGTTGAACTGGGAAGGTCATCGAACTTCTCTTGTAAGGCCGCTTTGACCCTAGATAGGATAGAATCACAAATTGAAATTGATCCACTCACTATTCCCTTCCAGAGGTGTTCCTCCAGGTATTGACAAATTGTTCCTTCTAAACACATTTGTTTAACAAAGCAAGCATGATATCACGTCTCGTCCACGGCGCTATTCGAAGCTGTTTTCAATCTGTTTCAAGGTCTAACACTTTGGAGTCATACCCTGAGCCGCTGAATAGATCGCCCAGCTTCTTCTTCGAAATGAACAGCCATGCGATGATCCATACAGCGGCGGAGAAAGTGAATCCCTCGACGAGCCAAGACAATCTTTTGCCTCAGCGATAGGACTTCTTTTACTAGCCCCTCATGCTGAGTTGGTACGTAACGTAATAATTTCCACGTACGGCTTATTATGAACCTCGGCATAACTGTTCTGTCACTAAGTTGTTTTCTTCAACTGTTGACGAGGTTTGTACACAAACTTTATTAGGCTGACTTTTCGGCGGAGTCGCCTTGTTAAGAGCCTAGAAGGATCTAACTATCTATGACTATCCGATCAAACGTCTCCACTGCCACATAAAAGTTCGAGACCCCTAGGGCACGCAGGTGATCAAGGAGAACCATTCACCATAGCTTTGTGGATTCTTCAAACCTACCAGCAATCGATGATAACAATCGACCAGTCTCAACTGGGGTAGGTTTTCATTCAAGGTCTCTGTGGGAAAGCCAACTTTATGTAAGGCCGCAGCTCTCGCGTGATTGCGAGGCATTTTTCTCTATGAATCCTTGAAGCTGCGGTGAGTGGTTCTCCCTGATCACTTGCGTGCCCTGAGGGTCTCGAACTTCAGTGTGATAGTGGAGACCTTTGATTGTATAGTCATAAATTGTTATGATCTTTTTAGGCTTTGAAGAAGGCGACTCCGCCGAAACGTCAGCCTAGTAAAGCTTGTCTACAAACCTCGTGAAGAGTTAAAAAACAACTTAGTAACAGAGCAATGAATAGATGAATAAAAGGCTGGATGACACGGAGAGTCGCTTTTTTCACATGATGACGACTCGATCCTTGTCAGTTGGAGAGGAAAATTTACGACACTGATTTTTCGGAAGTACTCCATTTCTCGAATTTCGGAAGTACTCGAATTGTGGAAAACTCATCAAATTTTCATCAAAGCCGATAAAGATTAGCACTAAAATTGGAGATTACGCTCGCTGTTAAAATTTCAGAAACAACCCAATCCTATAAAATGTGTTGATTTATACGAATTAGGTCTCGTTTATATTGATACTCTATTTAAACAGCCGCTATTGCTTACTTGCACATGTAACACCTGTACCACCTGTCGTCCCATTGATCATCGACTTCCCCGAACGACCGCCAGCGAGGTCTCCATTCGTCCCTATCACGAGCTAGAGTGGTCCACTGAGTCGTCTTCGCTTGAATGAGACGAGGCCCAACATTCCTTTGGCTCAGAGTTTTCGAGAAGTCTGGCTGTCTCGTAGGCGGCCGTCCTGGTGTTCGCTTGACGTCTCGAGGGATGCAGTCAATAACCGTATTGGTCCAACAGTCGTCACTATATCGCGTAACGTGTCCGTCCCGCCTTATCTTCGACTTCTTGGCGTAATCAACGGCGTCCCTCATCTTCATCCAATGACGGAGCTCAAAACCCCGAATTCCCTTCTGCACTTGCGTGTATAGGGAAATTCCGGGCATTGTCCCTTCTAAAGCGCACTGAGTAATGCTGACAGCATGCTCATCCTGCTTCCATAGAGTCCAAGTCTCCATAGAGTCCAAGTCTCCGAGTCAAACGTCAAACCAGGAAGGACAGCAGTGTCGAAAAGGTGAGCGCGTAGCCGGATTGTTCTTTGCCTTCTTAAATACATATTCATATTCTTAAACGCTGGCCACGCGGCGCAATTCCTTCTGCACAGTTCCGAAGCCAGGTCGTTTGTTGACTACCCGACTTCGGTACACGTAGCTGGGGCATTCAGAGATATTCGTTCCGCTCAGTGTGAAAGGAGCATCAGGAACCATTCCGTTTTTCCATGAACATAGTCTTCGTTAATTTCACTCCTGAGCAGATCTTTCCACAAGCACTATCAAGCTCGGCCAACATTCGTTCCGCCTGCTCGATGTTCGGTGTCATAGGCGCGATGTCGTCTGCAAAGCAGAGGTGATATAGGTAGCGGCCATCGACCTTCACTCCCAAATGTTCCCGTTCCAAATGACGCGTGTTATTCTCGAGAGCGGCACTGAAAAGTTTGGGCCAAACGGTTTCGAACCCCTCTCTTCATGTTAACAATGACTTCCTTGTAGAATGGTGAAATCTTGGTCGTGAAATTGTCGTAGAGCTCACGAAGCATTTTTATACAGGGTGTCACAAAATTATCGGCGCCAATTCATAGCAATATATTTGAGGCTTCCCAGCTGCGGAAGACGATGGAATTTCTATGCACGTTAGCAAACACCATTTGCTACAACATACTACAACAACTTTTCGAGATGCTCCCAATTAGCGCGCATAGAGGCCCAGAGTTTGCTCTCGACCTGATCGCATGTGGCACGCAGGTGTCCTTCTCCATTTCTTCTCGGCCGTTCTTCAGTCTTGCTTTCTAGGACTCCAAACTGGAATTGCAAGCTTGACCGGTCCTCTTCTAATCAGGAAACATATGGGGGAGTCAAGGGAGTGAAGTTCTGGAAAATAAGTTGGCCATTACTTTTCACCGATGAAGTCGGGCAGCTGTCGTCGGCACCCCACGCAGGCAAGCTTGGCTCTATGGGCTGGAGTAGCGTCCTGCTGGAAGGAATACGAGAAGTTTCACGAGCGTAGACGGATCAGTGTTTTATTACATCCATCAGTACATTCTTTGAGCACCGGTCTTAGTCAATGCTCACGCCGGCACCCAAAAAACCACGAGTGTCTCACCATTGCCATTGACTTCTTCAAAAAACATCACTTTGCTCTTTTTATAGCAACCTTTTTGTGAGAGATTGCAACTGCAACAAAATAATAGCAGGTAATGTGAATTTGATAGATTATTTTTACCTTACAAATTTCTGAATCTTGGAGCACATAATTTTGGGACACCCTGTATATTATGTAGGAACACCCTGCTTGCTCAGGGCTCTAATTACCGCTTCTGTCTCGATGGTGACAAAGGCTTTCTTCAAGTCGATGAACGTAAGACATAACGCATTTTGTACTCTTGCGATACTCAATGAGTCTTGTAAGGGTGTAGACATGATCGATTGTACTTAGCCCTCTTAGAAACCCTGCTTGCTCGCATGGCTGTCCTTCAAATCAATAAATTGTCCTTCAAGTATCCTGTCAATGCTGTTCAGGATGACGGGTGTGAAAAGCTCGTAGACTACAGATAGCAGGCAGATTGGATCGTAGTTGCCAATGTAGGGCGGGATCTTCCCCTTTGGTTCAGCACCACGGTTTTGCTAGTTTTCCACGATGAGGGCACTTTGCATTCATTCAGGTACCGCGTGAAGAGTCTAGCCAGAGTTCTGACAACAATCGCTGGGAGACTCTTTAGATGTTCTGGTCTGGCCCTATCGGGACCGGGAGCAGTACAATTCTTCATCGACGATTCATGTGATGGCATGTCGAATTTCAGAAGGAAGAACCGAAGGGGAGATATATGAGGCGGTGAACATCTTGGGGCTTCGTTCCTAAACTTCATAGCTCTCTCTCCACTCACTGAGAAGCAGAATCTAGCGCGGACGAGAAATGGTCCGATCCCATGTAGAACTACGCAACAACAGCGACATCAGTCAAGCAAAATCTCCGATTCAAGATAATGTGGTCTATTTCATTATGGAACCGTCCACCAGGTGACTCCCATGTCCATCTTAAATGAGAGGGCTTCTGGAACTGCGAGTTACCATGGATAGTATGGGTCGTCATGATAAACTCGGACAGCCTTTCACCCTGCTCATTCCATTCCACTCCGTGAGTCCCGATGTGAAGCTCTTCAGCCATTCTCTGGGGCCAATCTTGGCGTTAAAATCACCGACGATGACCTTGAAAAAGGTATGGTCTACTCTGTGAGCCTTTCCGGATCCATATAAAACGCTTCCAACTCCTCTTCTTTTAGCATGATGTTGGTGCATAGGCAACGGAGATGGGTAGAGCTGAGGTTGATCATCGCAATCGTCCGGTTTGGGTTGTTAAGCCTTCGTACGAATTGATGTTCATAATCAAGCGCGTATTGACGAGGAAACCTACGCCGCCGACGCCTCTGCTGACACATGTTCCATGATGTCGTATTTGAACTTCATAGCTTATCAGGTCTTCTATATCTTCTTATCTATCTCTTCTTCCGATGCAAGCGTACGTGCGTTCAAAGCACAGATCGCCATCTAAGTCTTTCTCCTTTTAGGCAGCCTGTTTCAGCCCTGAATCTTTAGCAGCCTCTCCCGAGCGGTCCTACCCAACGCTGCCGTATTGGGGGCTCCTTCAGGCTCAGGGAAATGATGCTCATATTTACCACTGTTTTTGGCGAGTGGATACACAACGTATAACTTGGCAGACTTTGACATGGGGGCTACGTTGACTCCGGGGGCTAGCCAGGCCATCCTGGAGTTTGAAGTGGACGAGGGGCTTTGTTTTTGGAGGCAAACCGCTTCGCAGATACTTCCCTGTTACTCGAATGCAAACTCTTTTGGGCTGAGTCGACGGGCCGGATACCATCTGCACGCAGAGACTCTTCACACACGTATGCGTCCTGCCTGCGATAAGCGACACAGCAGAATCGGGGAGTCCATTCCCAGAATCCACCTGCGTCTCTAGGCAAGTACTGGCAACTTTTGGACGAGTAACTCAATTCGGCGATTAATTCCTCTATCCGCCACTTTAGGACTTCTTACGTAGCCCCGTCGCCAACCGGCAGGGATCCTTCAATGAAAGGGAACCCTCAATGAAGGAGATCCGTAGTTGTTTATATATTCATAGAAGTACTATCTTCCACCAAGGTAATCACGCGTATCGGTTACCATATGAACAACCAAAATATCGTACCCTTCCACTAGCAGAAGATATGGTAGCGGCAGGTTCGTTAACGATCTAGGCAATCTTTCTGACGATGTAGCGCGAGCAGAAAACAAGATCATGCTTTTTCAAACGTCTTTTTCCTTCGCTCGCTTTAGATCATGCAATCACAAATTGGAGTGCTATCAAAGGAGAGGTCGATCATGGTATCTTGAATATCACGCACTTCTGGAAACCTGTCAAGAGAATGAATAACAACTTGGATGTTGACTGACACAATATTTCACACTGCTTTGCTCAACGGGATTGCAACAATTCAACCGCTTTATTCGGTCAACGTTTCGAACAAATTGCGTTTTCGAGCCCCGAAAGTATTTTTGAGCTCCTGATCTGTGGTTCCCCCGACCAAGCACTGTGGTAAAATTCATGGGTAGCGTATTATTAGTGGACGTAGTGAATAATATAATACAGACATCAGGTGGCCTTAGCATGTCATTGTATAGGGTACATGCGATTCAAACATATCTTCCACGCTGAACGCTTTTTTCTGACGAAAAGGGTTCAGCGTGGAAGTGTTCAGATCCCAGAGTACACGTATGTTTCTCTCACACTACACTACACTGTTTCTCACTACAAGAGGCGAGGATGTTGAGGAAGGTAAGATTGTTTCTCGTAGCTATTTACTCTTTTTCATGATAGTTTGGGCTGGAATCTGTGCCATCAGGGCGATAACGCTCAGTAACACAATATCTTCATAAGAGACGTCTCTGAGAAAGTGCTGCTAAGGATCGAAGTTTTTTGAGGGAACGATTTAAAACTACGGCGTACTTGCCCACGAATGGAGAATTTCACGACTGGCGCCGAGCCAGTATTCGCGACTTTATCCCTGCTTCCAATTACTCTATGAAGTTACCGAGCCGCCATCCAATGGGTCGGTGGATGTAGTCCACCGAAGTGGAAAGCCTGCGCTCCGCGCTCCAAAACATCACTGTCGCTGGTTTTTAGAAGGGTTGATGGAAGACCGGAATGGAGTTTCTCAAGAAGCTCTGCGGGCCGCCGTCGATTTGTAGTCAAAGGGTCTTTGAGCTATAACTAGTACAGGAGACGGTTATATCAAATGACCGTGCGATCATTTTCTTGATGCGATGCATATTGTAAATATTCACATAAACGCACTATGTACCAATCTGGATTGCGGTTTCTGCACGACATCCATTTGCTACAATATTTATGACACGCCCTGTATGGAGCACCTTCGCAAGCGTTATGAGCCGGCTCAAATGATGCCATAAAAGACGTTGGTCTGCAATCAAACCACAACAAGATTTAGCTATTGGGTTGTCCAAAAAATCCTGCGACACTTGGAAATTGAGGATCGCTAGCTATTCGAAAGCGAATAGCGCCCAGTTTTGATCTACGGTAGGGTAGACCACACCTAACGGGTACTGCGAAATATTATAAAAAGGCTTCTCCTCTCGCGGAAAAACAGTTATGGATCCTACAAATCCGAGTATCCTTCGACCCATCGTGTATTATGAATTCCTACAAGGAAATTCTGCAAGAGAAGCCGCTAGTAACATCTGCGCTGCATTCAAGAAAGATGTGGTACACCATTCCACTGTCTGTAGCTGGTGTCACCGCTTCGAGTCCGGATATATTTCTATCGAAGGACAGGAACGTCCTGGACGCCCATCAACTACTCATGATGATCATTTGCGCAGCGCTTACCTTTAAGCCGAACATAATCACTCGGGAATTAGCAAACACTCGGGTGCAGCAAATCAACCGTCAGCAATCGTCTTGCCTGTCTTGGCTTCCGCAAGATTCTTTCGACATGGGTGCCCCACGAACTTCGCGAATTGGACCGGGCCTGTCGTGTTAGCATTGCCGAGTCATTGCTTCTTCGTCCGCACAGGTAGGATTTGTTGAATGGGATAGTGACAGGAGACGAAAGCTGGGTGCTGTATTCAAATGATACCCGCAAGAGAGTGTGGTTGCCAAAGGGCCAACTGCCACCGAAGCAATCAAAACGTGGTTTGCAACAGAAGAAAATTCTCCTATGTTGTTGGTGGAATTGTGATGGGATGCTCTACTGCGAATTTCTGGTAAGTGGCACTACTGTGACGGCGACGACGTACTCTAATCAGCTA